TCCCGGCTTTCAAGTTCTGTTTTCATTGTGCCTTCCTCTTCTATTAGCCCCTCTCTTTATTATTTACTCTCTTCCCCCAGAGACACAAATTCTGCTTCATACATGTGTTTGTTATAGTGGCCTTGGTTTGAATATAAACTCATTAAAGATAGTCTGGTCTGTTCTGACAAATCTGAGAAAATATCTCTCCTCAGCAGTGCATCAGACTCCAAGGCCAGATTTCACACCTTAGCTTTTGGTGCTTCTAAGCCTAGTCTTAGACTAATCATTAGAAATCTGTGTACTTTTGACCCTCAAATCATAAGTACCCTGACCCATCTTCCCAAAAACACCCAGGAAATTTTGATTATGAGCTGCAAGGCAAGGTAGGAGCTTTACAGACCTCTCAGAATCACCAGCCAAAGTTGATGGCCAGGAAGACATTTTTGGTAGCTGACAAACATTTCTATCCATTTTCTCATCTCAGAGTACGTCTAGCACCTCTCTATCCATAGTGTTTGCTGAGCATCTGTTCATTTTAATTACTACTTTATTTTAAAGAAACAAGTATTATGATCCATGACCACCACTTGTTGGAAAGATAAAACCAGCAGAGCTGACATGAGGGAATAAAGCACTCACATTTAAGCGCTGCTGAATCATGTGTTAAAGAATGGATAGCCTGACAGGTATAAGAACAAAAACAAACAAGGAAGCCAGTGTTACTATGGAAGATTTCCTGGGTTCTGCCAGATGGGACCTGAATCTGAAAGCTTTTCATGGAATTTATATAGATCTGAGTTTCTTCAAATTTCCCTTCTCTAAGATGGTCATTTCCAATTCTAGGTAGAAAAAGAGCATTTATATCATCTCCTATCATTCCATGCTTTCTTTTTAACACTTTCCATTTTGTTCTCTTGGGGACGCTAAATGTGGAAGCATGCAAGGTATAATGTCACTCTGCTTATAATAAAAAGAGTAGGTATGATTGCTTCGTGTGCGTATCTCTGTCAATTGTTCATGTAAATGTCACTTCATGCACACTAAACTATAAACCAGTCTCCCCTGTATTAAAGTCTTTCGGTAGGATTTATTTTCCCTTACCTGAATCAATGCATTACTTCATACATTAATTCATCTTTTCTGGTTTTTTTTTTCATTTCTCTTCATGTAGAACTCCTATCAGGATATTATCTTCTACAAGAATGCTCCCAGTTGACTATTTTAATAAACAAAGCCATATACAGTGTTCCTTAGGGCTTGAAAGCACCTTGGAGAATGAACGTTTCCACTCTCATTTCACAGCTGATGAAATTGAGGTCAGAATAAATGAAGTATTTGCCTAAGGTCAAAATCAGGATAGAAGAAGAATCAAAAGTGTATAAGATGAAACTGAATTTTACTTTTGTCAATATACCATATTGTTCATTCAACAAGCATTTATTTATGAGTTGGGCACCATTCTAGGAACTAGGAAGTCAACGAGGCACCCCTAGGCACAATTCGACTCTGCTATTTATGTTTTGGCAAAGATTTCTCTCTTAGGTGTATGCAACAGGACTTCTTGCTGTATCTTTTTTAGTTGCATTTCTTTGTGCTTTGATAGTGCTCTTACCTTCATTCAGTGCCAATTAACTTCTCCCAAACTTTCTATTTAATTAATTCCCATCCTCTTTTTCAAGATACCAACTGACTCTCCTGACTTAATGCCCCTCCACCTCATTATCTTCCCCCATTCTGAAATAATTATTTCGAATATAATGAAAATGTTAAACATGGTTGAACCCAGCATGTGATTACTGTAACTCCAACTGCCAACAAATGTTTTAGTATTTTTTGATTTGTATAATTAAGTGTCATAACAGCAAAACAAGGAGCTCCATTCTCTTTACGCCCTCCCTTTTTTATTCCTTGTTGCTAAACATTTACTTTTATCATAACAAGGACAGGCTTGTAGATATAAGCCTTCCAAATAGCTTTTTCTAGCTAGACAGAAAAGGGACAAAAAGTTCCCTTATTCTAATAATCCTCCAGTGCAAACAAAGTCTCTGTCATTGTACTGTTACCTTCTTTATGGAACCTTCCAGCAATACTGTAGGTACCTTTAGTGATCGCATTTATTTGAAAAGCATTTCTTTGTCCACTGCTTTACTTGATAGATTATTTTCTTTTCATTGCCTAATACATTCTGATAATATTTAAATAAGAATTATTCTCTTTATAATTTTACACAGAATAAAATAGACTTGGACTTAATCAACAAAATAAATATAGCTACCATTCACTATGATAATGAATACAATTCACTGTTAGATAGTGAAACTAACACTAATACATTGTTTTTATTTAATATGTATATATTTAGGTTCATTTTTAAGTACTTTGTTTTTAAATTTTTTATTGAATTTTCGAGGATTTCATACAATATATCTTAATCATATTTAGACCACCCCCCTTCCCTATCTTTAGCCCTCCTTAGCCTGCCCACAGGACTTCATGCATTTTGTCATACATGTTAGGCCTATTGAGTCAAGTTTGTGTACCCAGATGTCCCTCTGTGTGAATTCATTCCCTGGAGCCTGTTCAGCCTATTATTTAATATTTTTAAAGATAGTTTTATAGTCTTTTTTTTTTCGGTCTATTTGAAACAGGGTCTCCCTGTAGCCCCAGCTGGCCTGGAACTTGCTTTGTAGACCAGGCTGGCCTTGAACTCATAGAGATCCACCTGCCTCTGCCTCCCAAGTGCCAGTATTAAAAGCATGCACCACCACGCTGGGCTATAATGTTTGTTTCTGTATTACTCTAATAGAAAGTTAAAAAAAATTACAAGTCCCCATATGCCCTTGTATGGATTCACCAAATGTTTATACTACTGTCTCACATCGTCTTTTCCCTCTCTGTCTCTCTTTCTGTGTATATGTGCACGTACAGTATAGGCTTGTATCTGTACACGTACACATGTAGGCACATTCTGTTGATTTCACAGTAGCCAGAAATTGTTCATGCTTTTTAATTCTAATCATAATTCTATTTTTGAAATTAAGCAAAATACAACACATTTTAGATATTAAAATTCTACAGAAACTTTTTTTTGGTTTTTGAAGGATATATGTATGTCCTAAACAGGCTCCAGGGAATGAATTCACACAGAGGGACATCTGGGTACACAAACTTGACTCAATAGGCCTTAACATATATGACAAAATACATGATGTCCTGTGGGCAGGCTAAGGAGGGATGCAGATAGGGAAGGGGGGTTTAAATATGATTAAGATATATATCACATATATATATAATGTACACATCTAAATTATATGTAATATATTCAATTAACAATTTTTGAAACCATTTGAAATTATATTGGAAACATGGTATTCCCTATCTTAATATTTTATTGTGTATTTTACTGTTTCTCCTATGACCAAGATATATTCTTACATTATACATAGGCAGTTTTCAGCTGATATGTTACCATTACCTAGTTTACAGTCCACATTCAACTTTCCTCAGCTGTAGCAATGGTGTTCTTAGTAGCTGGCTCTTTCTCAACCCCTACTTTTGGTAAATGATGCAGGCCAGACATTTAGTTGTACAGTGTTTTATTTCTATAGCTAAAAGCTGACATTCAGTCCATAATGACCTGGATAACATCCCCTTTTCAGGTAATCTCTGCTTGCTGCCAGTTGTTCCAAGAATGAAAATGTGAGCCAAACAATATCTAACCAAGGCCCTGAGGATTACAGATACCTACGCTAAGGATGTTGCTAAACACCCTTACAACTATGTCCTAACTGCACATTTCAGCATTTCTGTGAGATTTGGTCCAAGAAAGAATGCTCTGGTGTTTCAACATATTATAGTTTTGACATTTAAAATATGGACATGAGTGTCTGTTTTCAGCACAGGTGACTTACAACAGTTGTGGGGGGGTCCTCAGATTTTTTTCCATGTTTCTCATAAAGTGCTGTATGCCAGTGTATTTCAATGTGTATATGCCAATAGAATCCTGTTGTAGGTTTTGTTTTAATAAAGAAGTATCAGGATGCTAAGACTATAGAAAGCTTGCATAAAATTGATTATGGTTCAAAAATCATATTTTACTTGGTAGTCAGGCAAATCTAAGTGCATTTTAACATCACTATTCCTAATGGATTTTACTAGAAAACAGTTGAGTTTTGAGCAAGAATAAAAGGAAAACAGACCTTGCAGACTTCACCACAGAACAGATGTTAACAGATGTTAAACTTTCATTTATGAGTTTCATGTCAAACCAAATCAGAAGTTACTGACATCTTTATTACATTAAAGCAATTCTTGAAATTGACTCTTGGTAAGGAATTAATTTTTTTTTAATTTTTTGGGTCTAAACCAAAAGTTGTACTTGAATACAATGATATGGAATTATTTTTATCTTAATTCCAGACTGGCATATATTTACATATATGTGCATTTTTACAGACATAGCCAATGTACTGAAATAATATGAGTATATCTAGAAGATGACTGGGCTCTTTAAAATAGGGTAGTATGTGTGATATGTTGAATTTTTTTCTAACCATAGGAAAAATATAAAAATTGGGGTAAACAAATAAGGTTGATTTTAAATAATCATATAAATGCTTGATATAACATCAGACATTAATTGACTAGAAAAATGTGTCTTTTATTATGAATAGAGTAATATAATATTCTCTCATGTATTTTTATTTTAAATTTTCAATGGAAACACTCAATAAAGAACATAATTTCATAACCTGATTTTATAAAATGAGTATATAAATTATGCACATGATCATGATCTGTGGCTTTTCAAACCAACTTTAAAATTCTAATTCTATTTTTCTGTATTACATTCTGTACACTACATATTCATGAGTGTGACATATTTTGTATTTAAACATACATATTGCAGAATTTGAGATAGAAATCTTAATAAAGTTAATGTTATACTTAAGACACTCTCAAATGATTCTGAACTATGTGTAATCAACTGATCATCATATGTAACATTTATCTTTTAGACTGAAAAGAAAGAAACAGATTCTGAACAAAACAAACAAAAACAAACACAAATACTCCAGAATTCCCCAGCAGAACAGTAAGTACTTTATACCTGAATGCCTTTTCTGCATTACTCACCTTTCTATTTTTTAATATAAGAAATTAGGATAGTAAGCAATTGGAGCCTTCTAAATCTCCATTTCAATTCACTAGAGTGGACAGGAAATCATTTGTCATGCAATCCCCTTAGATAAGAAGATGGGCAATCTATGTGCTATTTCTCTGGTGACGAAAATGCGCATGTTGACCCATATTTTTGACAAACATTGAATTATTTTAAACTCAAAGGGGGGAATGTAAGCATAAGTGATTTTCTTTTATATGATACAAAATTTACTATTTTAGAAAAAAATCTTAGAGAGTATTACTATGCCTGGCTTGTTTAAAGTCACTAAACTGGAATTATTAAAAATAATAAGCATCTGCAGGCTTAAAATTCATAGTTTATTCTCACAAGCCCATTTCTTTCTTTCTTGTGACTTAACTATTAAATCTATTTTCTTATTTATCTGTGACTTAACATCAGTAATAGTTTTCCTAAATATTTTTTATTAAGAAAAATAACATGTATCTTGACGTCATCCTCTGTGTCAAAATAGGGAAATATAAAGAGTTCTAAGAAACAAAGAACTATAAAGTTTGAGAGTGTGAATATCAAAAACAGTAAAATAGGGATAAAATGTTAAAATCCATGTTAATGACCCACATTGTAGCACTTTGAATAGTAATGTTGACTGAAATGAGTTGGAAAATGTAGTTCCCTGAAACGCCAAACAGAAATAGTAAGGGTAATGATTGATCCAAATGGAACCCTGTGTCCTGTTAGCTATCAAAAGTGAATAAATTTCAATGGAAATGATTATAATATTGATATAAAAACAAACATTTAATACTAATTTTAGAATATATAAATTTATATTA